CGCGCGCACACACACACACACAGAGAGAGAGAGAGAGAGAGAGAGAGAGAGAGAGAGAGAGAGAGAGAGAGAAGGGGAGTGGGGACCACCTCCTGGCTCAACAGCTGTCATTTTAATGGAACCCCACTTGTCTAGGTTTTCTGTTTTGATCCATTACACTTTCCTGTGAGCCATTAAACACTGCATACTACAGGAGATTTGCACTCCTGGGTATCAATTCTGTGTGTTCTCTTTCTAGTACTTTATTTTTAGATTTATTTTTATGTGCCCTCATGTAGTGTGTGTAATGCCTGTAGATGTCAGAAGAGGACGTTGGCTCCCCTGGAACTGGAGTTAGAGAGTTGTGAGCCATCATGTGGGTGCTGGGAACAGAATCTGGGTCCAGCAAAAGCAACAAATATTCTTAACCACTTAGTCATGTCTCTACCCCCCCCCCCTTTTTTTTTTAGTAATTCTATCTTCTCACACAGCTTCATTTATCATCTGTACTTAACACATTCAAATTCCCTTCTCCACCATTTCTACTATCTTCAACCCATCAACTATTCTACATTGCACACCACACAGAAATCTCAAAGAGAGCCGGGCGGTGGTAGTGCATGCCTTTAATCCCAGCAAAGGATGCAGAGGCAGAGGCAGGCAGATCTCTGTGAGTTCGAGACCAGGCTGGTCTACAGAGTCAGTTCCAGGGCAGGACAGGCTCCAAAACAATACAGAGAAACCCTGTCTCGAAAAAAAAAAGAAATTTCATAGTGAGCAGGTCCAGACTTACTTCATTGTTGTTTTACCCCCCTGACCTACCACCATCTGCCAATTTCCCTCTAATACCATAAAGGTATTTCACTCAGTGGCTTAAGCCAGAAAACCAGGCGAATTTTTGGCTTTATCTTTTCTCCCTCACTACTAGTGCAACGTGTTTTTTCGTGTGTGTGGCTGGGAGCAGCAGTGACTGAACCTAGGGCTTATGCACGGGAGGCAAACACTCTACCAGTGAGCTGTATGTCCTGCCCTCTTTTTACTTTCTGAGAAGGGTCTCACAAAGCTGCCCACTGGCCCTAAACCCACTTTGTAGCTCAGTTTGGCCTTACAATTTCAAGCTTCTCCAACAATACATCCTGCCTTGTTTTCTGGTCTGTATTAGTCTCCTAAGGCTGTCTTTAAAAAGTACCATGAACTAATGCTTAACACAAACAAGAGAAATCACTTTCTCACAGTTTGAGGCCAAGACCCAAATCCAGCAGAAGTGGTTTCTTCTGGGAACTATGAGGGACAATCTCATCTATGCCTCCAGTAACATCTATCTGGTAGTTGCTGGAATTCCTGGGTCCTTGGCTTGAAACCAAGCCACTCCAATCTCTGCCTCTGTGGCCACTCTCTTCTTCCTCAAGTGTGTCTGTGTGCTTCTGTATCTTGCTCTCCTTAAAAGGATATCCATGATTAGATCTAAGGCCCAACACCTCATCCAGTTATGAAGAGCTAATTTGATTACAAATTTTCAAAGATGGTACCACAGAGTCAGGACACAATTGAACCGATCACACGATCACGCAGAGTTTTCTGTATAGTCCAGAGGTAAAGAAATGGACTCTGGAGTCAGTCTGCTTAACTGTGCCACCTTTTACCCATGTGATCCTAGAAGTTACCAATTCACTTCCTGCTTCAGATGCCTTACCAGGAAGCTGGAATGAAAACACCAACTATATCATAGAGCTGCAGTAAACTGCTTGCACATGTCCTCTCTTACACGCGCAAACACATGTATGTAAACACTTAACACAAATCCTGCACACAACCACATACTTACTGGTTATTATCAATATTAAGGTTGTACTCATCTACCTGCCCACTCCCTCCCCATCACTTCTCCATACTGCACCTAACAGAACTCAGTAACATAACTCGGGCCATGTCACATCCTTGGTTACAACTATTTTCACCTACCTCGGTTTTCATACCAGAGTGACACTACTCAAGGCTTCAGCCTCCAAATTTTCCTCAGTCTTTTGCTTTCAACTAATTAACTCATTCATTAGGCTTCATGTCAGACACACTTCCTGCAGGTCTTTCGGATTCCTCCGTTAATATCACCCTGCATCTTCCTAATATATGGCACATCTGTTAATCATTTTAAAGTAGATTAAACTCCCTTTTAAGGGCAGGTGATTGGTGCAACCTGCTTCTGTTACATAGGCCTGACAAACATTCGTGTTCATCTCTTCCGGAGTAATAAATGAAATGCATCATTCTTGCCTGTGGGTTTGAGTTTCAATGATTCCAAGGCCACAGCTGGCATACTGAAAACAAATGTAGTCCTGTCTGTTATGCCCTATTCAGCAAGAAGCAGGCTGGCATGAAGATCTGATTGTGAGGTCGAAGAAACCGTAACCATTACGTGTCTTCATTTTCGTATTCCTCGATTCCAGCACGGTCCTTGGTACACGGTAGACACCCAAATCGGTCGTACTAATTGAATGCCGTGCTCCTGGAACAAGGGTGGCTGGAGTCCCCGCTAACTCCTTTCCCCAATACCCCCAACTCCCACCAACCTCTCCTGCTCTCTGTCATTCTAACTACTAGCACTCCGCAAGCATCTCCACTCCCAGCTCTTAAGTCAAAACTCACATGTCAGCTTTCCCATCGGTAAAATCGGTACCACCACCACCACCAAAAATGCAAAGATATAACGACGGAAACACAAGGCGGGCAGAATCGAGTCGGATCCCAGGCCCCACACACCCACGCGGCTCGCTACACGGGGACGCCCCTCTCCCGGCCTCCCGGCAGTTCCCAGCCCCCTCCCCCGCCCCGGCACTCACTGTTCTTGAGGAAGCGCTCCTCGTGCAGCACGGCGATGGCGTTCACGCACAGCAGGGCCGCCTGCAGCAGGGAATACAGCGTGAAGGCCATTGTCACCCCAAGCAGTGCCGGACTGACTCCTTCCCGGACGCTGCCCGGGACGTGGCGCCACCACCGCGCCCTGCTACGGGAGCCCGCGCGGCCCAAACCGCGCTCACCGAGGAGCCCCGCCCGCTCTGGCTGAGCCCCGCCTCCTCTGACCGAGCCCCGCCCAGTGCAAAGTACCATCACCTGGGCGCGAGCCACAGGGAGTCTTAAACACTTGGTACAGCAGTCATTCTTCACAAACAGGGGCTGACAAAAACAGATGTAGAGTATCGCATAATTTAAAAGTGTTCTTTATATATTGAAGTGATAGGAACATATTTGAAGTAAGTATTTTTCTAACAGTTTTCTGCCCACTTTTGCTTTTTTGTTTACTGTGGCTGTGAGAACTGAATCACAAGTGAGGCTTGTATTGTGTTTCGGTTTTTTCTGTCTGCCCCCTGTCTGCCCCCTACATGTTCCCTAGAACCGTGTGAAGAGTTTGTGTTCAGGTTTTACCCCCGAAGAAATGGAGACTGTGAAAATGTTTAAAATTATTAACATTATCCATAGAGAAGCATTCAAACTTGATGGAACTTGATCAAACTCTAGCCAGGATGTAAATACTACAGAATGGGAAAGCAAGCTCTT